GTTCTCACTCTTGCTCAGGCTGGTTTTGAACTCTTGGCCTTGGCCTCCCAGGATTACAGGCTCTCCCTCATGCTGCAGGCCTGAGGCGTTGCACCCAGCCATACTAATTTCTGAATGTCATCACTGCCCTGTTCCTAGACAAAATACCTTTTGAGTATCCCCCCAAAATATCTCTTTATAGTTAATTTGTTAAAATCAGAATCCAGAGAAGGTCCACAGGTTTGGGGATGTTTATGGCTCTGAGTCTCTCCTGGCTGTGAGGTAACCCTTTTCTTTGCCTTCTTGCCATCGGCTTGTTGAGGGGACCAGGTTAGCTCTGGATTTGTGCAGGGGCTTGATGGTTGTTCGCTGGGCCCTTTCTTGAGGAAGGAAGGAGGCAGCCACCTGTAGGTTCCCGGTTTTTCTTGTAGTTCTTCTAGATTCCCACTCTGGTTGGCAGCATCCTGGTCCTGTTGTAAGTCTGTCTGACCCAGGCACCATGGCACAGGGGTCGTCAGGTCGTTCAGACCTTTCCCATTTGTTTCCCCCTTTGAAAGCAGGCTTGTGTCTGTGTAAACATCAGGCTACCTCTGACCAGCATGAAGATTCCAAACATAAATAGCAAATGAATTGGAACGTCTTATAAACCCTGGGTGTGTGTGTTATTTTAAAGCAACTCCCTGCAGAGGCAGAAGGAGATAACAGAACTAGTTTCCAAGGAGGCGGAGCCCTGTTTGCTCTGTGTCATCAAGATAACTTTAAGTGCTTTTCTGAACTTGAGCAGAAGGGCAGAATTCTATGCACATGTACGTGAAGGGGCCCTGGGACATGGTTTTCCTGTTCACAGCATACGTGCGGCCACCACATGCAGGACAGGTCACTCAGATTCCAAACCACCGGGCATGTGCTGATGTCACAGGGTCTGCAGAGACACTTGGCCAACTCTGCCCCATAGAACACAGGGTTCTGTGACCAGAATGTTTAGTGATCAGAACCTCTTTTGGTTTTAAAATGAATCTCCCCTTCTTACCTTCTTTTACCTTTCATTATGTTTTGTTTTCTTTTTTAGAGACAGAGTCTCATTTTGTCGCCCTCGGTAGAGTGCCGTGGCAGTGTCACACAGCTCACAGCAACCTCCAACTCCTGGGCTTAGGCAATTCTCTTGCCTCAGCCTCCTGAGTAGCTGAGACCACAGGCGCCCGCCACAATGCCTGGCTATTTTTTTGTTGCAGTTTGGCCGGGGCCAAGTTTGAACCGGCCACCCTCGGTATATGGGGCCGGTGCCCTACTCCCTGAGCCACAGGCGCCGCCCCATTATATTGTTTTTTTTATTTTGTTTTTTAGACAGAGTCTCACTCTTGTCACCCTGGGTAGAGTGCTGTGGTGTCACCACTCACAGCAACCTCAAACTCCTGGGCTCAAGGTATCCTCCTGCCTCAGCCTCTTCAGTAGTTGCAAGTACAGGCACCTGTCACCGCCCGGCTAGCTTTTCTATTTTTAGTAGAGATGAAGTCTCACTCTTGCTCAGGCTGGTTTCAAACTCCTGAGCTCAAGGGATCCTCCTGCTGTGGCTTCCCAGAGTGCTGGGATTATAGGAGAGACCCACTCTGCCTGACTTTTTTTTTTCTTAAGATAATTGTGATATGTTTTTTAGTCATTTCTTTTTTCCTCCCTGCTATGTGAAAAACTGGTTAAAAGTTACATGTTGTATTTTTAAAATGTAGGAGGCCTAGGTGAGTGGATCACTTGAGCTCAGGAGTTCAGGACCAGCCTGAGCAAGAGTGAGACCCTCATCTCTACTAAACCCAGAAAAATTAACTAGCCTGGTGATGGGTGCCTGTAGTCCCAGTTACTGGGGAGACGGAGGCAGGAGGATCACTTGAGCCCAAGAGTTTGAGGTTGCTGTGATTCCATGGCACTCTACCCAGGGCAACAGTGAAATTCTTTCTGTAAAAATAAATAAAATAAAAATCGACTATTTTAACCGTTTTACAGTGCACAATGCAGTGACATTATATGCATTGCAGTGTTGTGCAGCCATCACCACTGCTTAGTTCCAGAACTTTTTTATCCCTCCGAAAGGATGCACTGTACTCGTTTCTGTCTCCTCCTGCTCATGGCAGGCACTCATCTGCTTTCTATGGATTTGCCTTCTCTGGATATTTCATGTAAAAGTAATTGTCGAGTATTTATCCTTTGGGGTCTGGCTTCTTTCACGTGGCATGATGTTTCCGAGTTGGTCCGTGTGGTAGCAAGTCTCAGCATTTCATTCCTTCTGTGCCTGGGTAACTGTTCCATTGCAGTCATGTACCACACTTTGTTTATTTGTTCCTCAGCCATTGGACATTTGGTGGGGCTGCTCTGAGCATTTGCATATAAGTTTCTGTTGGAATATTTGTTTGCAATTCCTTGGCTATACATGCCCAAGTGAAACTGCTGGGTCGTCAAGTAATTCTGCATTTCAGTATTTGAGGAACAGCCGAACTTGTTTTTCATGGTGGCTACACCATTTCGTCTTCCCACCAGCAATGCGTGAGATCCCAGCATCCCCACATCCTCACCCGCATTTCTATTTGTGTATCTTTTTACGCAGAAAGATCTGCTCAGGCCCTTTGCTTATTTCAAGAAGACCTATAGTACTCATTGCTAAATTTGGTCACTGCTTTTGTGGTTTCTGGTTTTTTGCGTAGTTTCTGTGAGACTTGTTTTGTGTGCAAGTGCACGTCCAAATGCTTAGAAGTATCTATACTTTATCTGTACATTTTGGGTCTTGTGAGAGATTTCAGATTGTGTCACCTCAGAACTCCTCTGACCTAGAAAAAAAGTACAGCAGCAAATTCTATGGGGTCTGTACCTTCAAGCAGAAAGCTTTAGATTCCGAGTGTGCACTTTGGGAAAAGTTCTCTCACCAAAATCAGTTTTCATTTTTATTCATTTTCATGTGAACATCAAAAACATTACACTAAGTGATTTTGCTCTCTGATTTTCATCTACATTAAAAATAAAATTTCACTCAGACCTTTTCTGATCCCTTGTCCCTTTGAAACCCTGCTCTCGGCAGATGACACAGAATGAACAGTCAGGAGTTTATGAAAAAGTCTCTTCATTCTCAGTTCATTATTAAGTGACTTTTCAAAATATGGTAGAATTTCCCCTTTTAACAGTTTTTGGGAAACTCTCCAATGTTCTGAAATAGTCTTCGTTCTGGCTTTATAATTGGTTCTGTGGGAGGCACAGAGTGACTTCAGGGACAGCTGGGACCCTTTCTGTTTTTCATTTATGTGAGATGGAGGTGGTGGGACCTCTCCGCTCATATTTCCTTTCCTTTCTCAGCTTAGAGTTCAGGTGTCCCCAGACCCAGCAATTCCCTGAGCTATCGTGGGAGATTGTTTTTTAATAGTTTCCTGGGCTTTAATTTCGACAGACTTGGAAATAGGACAGGGAATCTTCTAACCTTAAAAGCTGGGAGACTGTGTGTGGGGTCGTGGTTTCATCAAATACAGGATCACATGACCTCAGTTTTGAACTTAGGCGCTTATTACCATACATTCCTTGGCTACATTGTTTAATTCTCCTCCTCAGTTTCCTCAGCTGTAAAATGGAAATCACGGCATCTATTTAGCTCGTTAGGTTGTTACAGGAAAGAAAGCTGAGCCCCAGGTGCTTATACACAAATGTCCAGTGGCACAGGGCCCGGGGAGCTGCGAGAGCCATCGCAAGACCTAGGTGAACTGGTTTCACATAGTTTTACTATGAATGAGACTTCATTTATTTTTCTTCTTCTCCTTTATTTTATTTTATTTTTTTTGAGACAGAGTCTCACTCTGTCACCTGGGTAGAGTGCCGTGGCATCATAGCTCCCAGCAACCTCAAACTGTTGGGCTCCAGTGATCCTCCTGCCTCAGCCTCCCCAGTATCTGGGACTACAGGTGCCTACCACCACGCCCTGGTAGTTTTTTTTATTTTTAGTAGATATGGAGACTCCCAGCTCAGGCTGGTCTCAAACTTCTGAGCTCAGGCGATCCCTCCTTCCTCGGCCTCCCGGAGTGCTGAGAATACAAGTGTGAGCCACCATGCCCAGCCTTGACTTTATTTCTAAAGCATTAATTTCTGATGGTGTGTTTGCCAAGGTTGATGCAAGCAATTTGGGGTTTTCTCTTTGTAAGAGAGATAGTCATTCTGATAAAAAGGTTATATCCAGCGGCTTTTCTTCAGAAACTGAGTGTCATCTTGTCATGATCTTCACACCTTTGTTACTTGTCCTGCCATCTCCTGCTGAACTGCAGACCACAGAGATTAGAATGTTAAACAGAAGCCTTCTATTTCTGTTGGATTCCCAAGCAGGCGTAGGCATTGGGGTCCTTGTGATGACAGCCTCTGATAGACCTGACTTCACTTGGGTAAAGGGGTATTATTTTGAAAAGTTGCCTGATGTTTAATTTACCTAAGACAGATGGAGTTGCTATTTACCTGATGATGGGATGAAATGATAAGAATGAGCATTAGCCTGTCATTTATCTGTGGTCCCATAAAAGAGAAGAGGCATAGATAATGGAGCACATTGGTATATCCTGTATCCTCACCATTGACCTTGGAAAACATTCTTTCTCTGCCAGCAGACCTTGAGAGACTGTGAATCTCATTTGAGGTAGACTGTTGAGATTGGGACCCAGTGAGGAAATCAGTTTGATGTACAGTAGATTGTCATTGTCTAATTTAAAAAGCCAGTGATGCTTAGTAGGGAATCTTACACTCTAGAGCTGTGTTTTTCAACCTTTTTAATCACATGGCACAATTGAACCTATAGTTAAACTTCCATAGCCCACTTAAATTATGTTAAACTGAAAAGAGTAAAAAAAGAATATACTTACTGTGCTTTTGAAAATAATTTAAGGAATGATCTTTAAAAAAATTTTGTGGCACAGTGGTTGAAAATGACTGCACTAGTGCTTAAGAACCTTCCACCATGGGGGTCAAAACCCATGACTGCAGGTCTTGTTTACTTTTTTTTTTTTTTCCAGGAAAAGAAGATTTTTCAGATCCCCTGGATGCATGCGGCTAGACATGGGTGGGACGTGGAAAAAGACGCACCACTCTTTAGAAACTGGGCCATTCACACAGGTATTAAACTCTTTGCATCATTTTAGAGGCAGATACTATCAATTTTCTTTTATTACACCCATGAAATATCCTGGCTTAAGGCCTCATGAGGGCAGCTCTGAAGAACCTGTGACTTATCCCTGGGGCATGTCCAGGACACGTGGAGTACAAACTGCACCCGTGACAGGCAATGTTCCACCCATCCGCTAGAAATGTAGTCCTTAAATTTCTCATAAATAATGGCATTTTGATAAATTCCCCAGATGTTACCAAGGGAACATAAATTTAATTTGTGCCTAAGCTGTAAATTTAAGATTTACTAAATCTCCCCCCCAGTACAGTAGTCAGGAGTTTATTTACTTATTATAAAAGGTTAGGCAGGGAGCTATTTTCAGGAATGGACTTTTTACCTAATGGTTGAGATCCCTTCTCTTTGCCGGCCTTCCAGTCTTTGGCTTACGCAGAGATTGCCCCATTCTTCTTCCATTGTCTTTTTCTCTCCAGCTGTTTAGTAGAACCAGGTGACCAGTTTGTCCCAGTTCATCTCGAAGTATGTTCAGGCTTTCATTTTTATTAATTAGTTAATTTATTATTTCAGGTTAATTGAGTGTACAGTGAATTAGGTTACACTGTTTGCATTTGTTAAGTAAAGCCCCTCTTATAGCCGTGTTCAGCCCCAAGAGGTGTGCCATATATCCTGACGTGGCCCATTAAGTGGGAGCACCCCCTCCCCCTCCCCCCTCCCTTCTTCCTGCTCCCTTGTTCTCCTTCCCCCCATCTTCAATTGATTTGAGTTTTTCTCTTGTGTGGGCATGTATTAGATCATCTTCTGGTTCCAGATTAGAATCGAGTACATTGGATTCTTGCTTTTTCATTCTTGTGATACTTTACTAAGAAGAATGTGCTTCAACTCCAACCAGGTTAATACAAAAGATGTGAAGTCTTTATCTTTTTTAATAGTTGAATAGTATTCCATGGTATACATATATTTTGTTTGTTTGTTTGTTTGTTTTATTCTGTTTTTTGAGACATAATCTTACTCTGTCACCCTGGCTAGAGTGCGATGGCATCATAGCTCACAGCAATCTCAAATTCTTGGGTTTAAGACATCTTCTTGCCTCCGCCTCCCAAGTAGCTGAGACTACAGGTGCCTGCCACACCCCTGGCTAGTTTTTTCTATTTTTAGTAGAGACGGGGATCTAACTCTTGCTTAGGCTGGTCTTGAACTCCTGAGCTCAAGGGATCCACCACCTCAGCCTCCCAAGTCCCGGGATTTCAGGCATGAGCCATCATGCCAGGCCGTGTTCAGGCTTTTAAAATAAAATTCCCGCCTCCCAAGAACCTTCCCAATCCTAGACAAACCAGAACAGTTGGTTACTTGAGGTGTAACCAGGGATGAAAAGATTTCTCTGTATGACTGTCCAGCAATTTTTTAAATCTATATCTCATTTTCCCCTGGCTATTTTGTTAGGAAAGCATCAACCAGGAGTAGATAAACCTGATCCAAAAACATGGAAGGCGAATTTCCGATGTGCCATGAACTCCTTGCCTGATATTGAAGAAGTTAAGGATAAAAGTATAAAGAAAGGAAACAATGCCTTCAGAGTATACCGTATGCTGCCCTTATCTGAGAGACCTTCTAAGAAAGGTAAAAATCAGTTACTGACTAAGAAATCGGTCACTTAATATACGTGTAGTACCTTTGTGATTTCATTATTTCTGTATCTGTAGTCCACGTCCAGGGTCGAATGCCATGCTCATACTGTGGGTAATAATTCTGCCTTTACCCAGCTTGGAAATGTGACTTTCAGGTTACCAAGCACAATAAATAATAATTTGGAATTTCAACTATAATTTAATGATAGTTTGGAATTTTGACCATGTGCAGATGAAGGCCACAGTTTCTTGGAGAGTTTCAGAAAGAATTTAATTTAGGGAGGAGTGTTTCTTGTAGGTCCTTGATGAATTAACCCAAAACTACATTTTTATTGCCACAGGAAAGAAACCAAAGACAGAAAAAGAAGACAAAGTTAAGCACATCAAGGTAATCTTTGGTTGTTGGGAGAGAATATCAAAGTTATGACCACATTCATGATTCATGTTCTATTTTATGAAAAGTGATGTGACCTCTGCAGACTGTTTAAATCTTTCTTCTCTTGCCATCTAATCTCATATACCTTGTGTAAGATCCCCTCTCCAACATGTACCTACTCACAGAGATAGACGCACACAACCGCTGCTTAATCCAGTTTCCCTGAGAAATTTATGAATGAAGTCATAAATTCACACAAAGCTTGGCAGTCTGAAGTCTCCATCTGGTCACCACGACTGTTGCCAGCTGGTCACTCAGTTCCAAGGAAGCTCTAGCAACCAGCTTGTGTCTGATACTATTAAGTATATTTTTAGGCTATTAAATATATTTTAATAAGGCCAGGTGAGGTGGCTCATGCCTGTAATCCCAGCACTCTGGGAGGCCAAGGTGGGTGGATCCCTTGGGCTCAGGAGTTTGAGACCAGCCTGAACAAGAGTGAGACCCCGTCTTTACTAAAAATAGAAAAACTAGTCTAGTGTGGTGGCAGGTGCCTGTACTCCCAGCTACTAGGGAGGCTGAGGCAGGAAGATTGCTTGAGCTCAAGAGTTTGAAGATACTGTGAGCTATGAGGTCATGGCACTCTACCCAGGATGACAGAATGAGAATTGGTCTCAAAAAAATAAAGTAAATAAATAAAGGTTGATATATAGAAGGTATTATATACTTCTATTAAAATCTGTTAACTGTATTTCATATCTCTTCCATCATGGGCCATTTGAGGAGGACCCTGAGGTCAACTCAAGTACTCTATAGTGTAGCCCTCAGTAGTTTCTTTCTGCTCCACTCTAGAGCCATCTCACGTACCTCCCAAGGGTTTTCCATAGGGGTGTGTGTATGAGAGAGCTTCTCAGTAGGCTGTGTTGTCTGAACTACCTGCAGATTGTGGATCTTTGTGCATAGACTGTGTAGCCCTTGTTACACAATAAGAGAAGAGCCAGATATCCCCAGCAAAACTGGGGACAAGCTTCAGTTGCTGAGCAAAGAGCAAGCACTACAGACCCAGGCCCATAGACCACCAACTCCCTGGCCTCGGTGCAGGTGAAGGAAATTGAGGATCCAGAGAGATGAGTGACACACATCTAGGATTACCTGGTGATTTAGGACTGAACTTGAAGATGCTAGGTATTCTGGTTTATAACTTAGAATAACTATTAGAATAAAAAGAACCATGCTGTTTTTACAACACACCATTGAAAAACAAGCCAATAAGTTGAAATGGGGAAAAAATACAGAAGAATTGATTTCATATAGAAAACTAGATTTGAGAAGGTTGTTGAATTATAAAGGAAAACTTAGATAAGGTGTTAGCGTTGCAGAGATATTTATCTCCACAGTGGAAAATAAATATTTTAGGCAGAGGATTTTAGCAGTGATACTTCTAGTTTCACTTTCAATATTTTTAGGTTCTGACTTATTTTAAATATGTACCAAAGGCCTAATTTCGTTTTAACTTCTTTTGGTGGAAAAATTTTATGCACCTAGAAAGGAAACAAATGAGTGAAATCTACCCCATAGATCATCACCTCAAGTTCAGTATCTTTAGCTACTTCCCAACTTCTAGTATAAAGTTTCAGATAGTCAACTAATTTTGACTTACAAAAACCACTTGTGGTATGAAGCAAATCACAAACATCATATAATTTCTTCCATAATAATTCATTAGGGAAACACTCATATTTAAAAGATAAGTGTTCTTTAAAAATACCACAGTAGTATTATCATGCCCGAAAAAATTAAGAGTACTTCCTTTAATTTCAACAAACATCCAGGCAGTATTCAGATTTCCAATTATTTCATAAATGTTATAATTTTTATATAGTTTGTTTAGTATTAAGATCTTTCTAAGATTTACATGTGATTTGGGGATATGTCTTTTAAGTATTTTTTTTTAGTTTATAGGTTTCCCATATATTCCTCTTAATTTTTTTTTATTTTTTTCTTGCAATTGAAAGAACTGAATTGTCAGCCATATCACATTTCTCACAGTTTAGGTTTGCTTTTTGAAGAAACAGGGTCTTGCTGTATTGCCTACGCAGGAGTACAGTGTTGCAAGTGTAGGTCACTGTATCCTTGAACCCCTGGGCTTGGGTGATCCTCAAGTATGCTCAGCCTCTCAAGTATCTGGGACTATAGGCACACTACCACACTGGCTAATTTTGGGGTTTTTTTTTTTTTTTTGAGACAAAGTCTCAAGCTATGGTCCTGAGTAGAGTGTTGTGGCGTCACAGCTCACAGCAACCTTGAACTCTTGGGCTTAAGTGATTCTCTTGCCTCAGCCTCCCAAGTAGCTGGGACTACAGGTACCTGTCACAATACCTGGCTATTTTTTGTTGTTGTTGCAGTTGTTATTGTTATTTTAGCTGGCCCAGGCTGGGTTTGAACCTGTCAACCTTGGTGTATGTGGCTGGTATCCTACCCACTGAGCTACAGGTGCCACCCTGGCTAATTCTTTTATTTTTGTAGAGATGAGGTCTTACTCTGTTGCCCAAACTGGCCTCAAACTCCTGGTCTCAAGCAGTCCTCCCAGTTCAACCTCCTAAAGTGCTGAGATTGCAGGTGTGAACCACTGTGCCTGATTACGGCCTACATTTGGATTAGTGCTATTTAAACAGAAGAGTATAGCTTCCCTGCAAATACGTGATTCTGAAGAATTAGGTACAATCTGAAGAATGACTATATTATGTTTACTACTGTTTTCATAGCATCTAGCTCAGTGCGTGGTACAGAATAGATAATTAATATATTTTGGTAAGTAGATGTATATGCATTTGTGAACTAAATAGATGTATAAATAAATATAATATGTAGGGTGGGAGTGAGGGGTTTTACATTAGAATGAAAACTTTTATAATCACAGTTAATGATGAAATACAAAGGGAGTAACATGTTTAATTTTCTTTTCTTTTCTTTCTTTTTTTTTTTTTTTTTTTTAGACAGAGTTTGACTCGGTTGCATTGGGTAGAGCGCCACATCATCACAGTTCACAGCAACCTCAAACTGTTGGGGTCAAGTGATCCTCTCACCTCATCCTCCAGAGTAGCTGGGACTATAGGTGCCCACCACCACGTCCAACTAATTTTTCTATGTTTAGTAGGGAGGAGGTCTTGCTCTTGCTCAGGCTGGTCTTAAACACCTGAGCTCAGGCAATCTACCTGCCTGAGCCTCCCAGAGTGCTGGAATTATAGATGTGAGCCATTGTGCCTGGCCACATGTTCAATTTTCAACACACTTTGCTCAAAATTATCCCTCATATTCCATTGACTGTCAAGATACCAGTGATTTTAAGGTATACCATTATTTTATGTATTGCTCAGAAGGAAAACCTGATACCTCACTGATTATGAGTACATCTGGTTTCAGGGATATGGAAGTGTGAGGAAACATGTGTCTCAGAATTGATGACATGTGGTGCTCTTGTAAGTACAGGATCTCTGCAGTCACAGCAGCGTCGGTAGCACCTTCCTCTGCCTACCAACACGAGCAGGTTGTGGGAGGCACAGCCGTGGTTGGGCTTGGTCATATTTGCCCCAGGGAAGTAGGTGAGAGGTTCCCCCTAAGGACAGCCTCGTGGGGTCAAGGTCCATCTTAGCAAAGTGTGCATTGTGATGAAATCTTTCTGCAATTATGGTGTGGTTACTACCTGAAACTTACCTTGAGCAGAGGCAGGTGAGATTCATCAGACACGTGCACGAGCTAACTTTTGCACTGAAGTCTTCTTGCATTATGCCTGCAGGGGGAACATGGGAAATGAGTGAGGGATGAGTGGCCTGCCAAGTTCTATGGTTCATGGATGTTCAAGCCATTGTGTTGACTTCAGGTTTCTATGGAGTGTTTTAAAAGTTAGCTCCCCACCTGGGTACGGTGGCTCACGCCTGGGATCCCAGCAGGAGTTTGAGAGCAGCCTAAAGCAAGATCAAGACCCTGTCTCTACTAAAAATACAAACAACTGAGGCGAGAGGATCGCTTGAGCCCAAGAGTTGGAGGTTGCTGTGAGCTATGATATCGCCATGGCACACTACCCAGGACGACAGTGAGATTCTGTCTCAATTAAAAAACGAAAAAGCTAACTTCCCAAGGCATCTGGAATTGCACAATCAAAGGACTTTATCCTTACTGAGCTGTTAATACTTTACTTTTTATTGTACATCAAAACACACCTACACTCTGAGTTAATATGTCCTGTGCAAATATGTGACTGGATAGACTTGGTAGTTTTTCTTCTACTGAGAAAATTTGTGTTGTGGGAGGTGACTAGGCTTGCAGACTTGCTGTTGAAGCAAGCCTTCACCAAGTCTTAAAGTTGAGTTGAAGTTTTAATTAGCCAACAATGTTTAGAACATGCTGGCCAAGGGTCTGAATCTTTCTTGGGTCACTCAGATCATTGATCTCCATGCTATGTTCCTCTCCGCCTCCCAACAAATCAGATAGTCTCCCTGAGACTGGAAGACCCAAGGTCCATTGGCCGAGTAGTTGCTATAGAAACTCTGCCTCAGCATTCTTTGATATTCTTTTTGTGAGTATATTCTGTATGCTCAGTGAGCCACGTTTTACATGAACTAAGCCACTATCTAGGGAAGTAAGAGTAAGTAAAACAAAAGAGAGCAATAGTAGATTGTACTTCATCAGTTAATACACCATTGGACAATTAAGTAAACAAACTCATCTTAGAAAAAGTGCTCCGTACCACATTGCTCAACATCCCAAGTGATCACCAGGTGTGCGCTGACACCAGCGCCTGGTCCACACTTCAGAGTACTTTTGGAGCTCTTTGTGGAATGGCTATCAGAGCTGTCATTGTATGAGGTCTGACAGTTAGGTTCTGCAACTCATCCTAGAAAAAGCCCTGCATATGTCATTGCTGAGTATCAATGCAGTCACCAGGTGGCAAAGTAGAGTACTTCAAAGGTGACCACAGTGGCCAGGCGCAGCAGCTAACGCCTGTAATCTCAGTA